TGCAGTGTGTGTGTGGGAAGGACAGAGGGCCACCTCAGAATCATGCGCCATGAGACAGTGTTTCCTTCGGTGATGGGCCACGTGTGTGACTGCTGTGCCAGGTTGGCTGGTGTGCAGCAGGCTCTCGCACCCTCTGTGCTGCCCATGCTGTGCTGAAATCACCTGGGGTGCATTTCCCAAAAGGGCCCAGCAGTGATGCTGGACAGTGATCCAAGGGAGGACTTTCTTTCCTTCCTTCCAAGAGTTTTTTTTTGTTTGTTTAAACAACAGCTTTATTGAGACATAAAAAGAGGCTGTGCTGTTTAAATTAGTTTAAACCATTTATTACAGTAAAATACACATTGCCATGAATTCTCCTCAAAATACTTCCTCTGGTTTCTAGTACTTTCTGAAGCAGTTTTCAGAATCATCATCTTTTGCATCTTGAGTCACATTGTTGTGTGTGCCTTGACCTGAAGCGATTGAGGCCATTTAGCTTTCACGGTCATTTTAAGTTTGGGGAAGAGCCAGAAATGTCATGGTGTCAGGTCCAGTAAATAAGGTGGAGAAGGACACACTATCATGTTTTTATAAATACGGCTTTTCATTGGATGGCACTTGACAGCAGTATTCACTATATTTTGGAACATGCCAAAAGCTAACCTGAACTTACTATGTATGCCATGATAGCCTTGAATTTGTGATTCTCTTGCCTCAGCCTCGCTAGGTGTTTTGTTACAGTGGTATGCCATCTGCCCAGCTTTTCTTTTCTTGTGTGTGTGTCTTTCTGTCTTTCCTGGTTATTGAACTCTCTGTGCCTTTGCACATATATTATCTTCACGCCTTTTTTTGGAGAAAGTGTCTAGCAAGTTGCCCAAACTGGGCTCAAACTTGGATCTTCTTGCCTCAGCTTCCCAGAGTGATGGAATTATAGGCATGTGTCAGCACTGCCACTTGTTGCAAGTGCCTGCCTGGCAACTTCAAGATCCTGAATTTGATCCCTGCCACCAGGAAGATAAAACAGAAAAGCTGAGGAGCAAACTACTGTCTGGAAGTTGGTATACCACTGAGCTCCATCTCCATACCTGGGCTTCTGATTATACAAGTGTTAGGTGGTTTAATATTGCTCCATTGTTCTTAGCTGTTGTCTTCTATGTTATTTTCCTGTGGTTCACTTTGGATCATTTTCATTGACTTGTGTTCGATGTGTTTTGTTTTGTTCTTTTTCAGTAGTAGGGGTTGAATCTAGGACCTCTGCCATGAACTAAATCTCCTTTTTATTATTTGAGATAGGATCTTACTGAGTTACTAATTTTCCTAGTGTGACCTCAGAGTTAGTTTCTTTCTCTCTCT